GGCGCCGCCGGCGCAGGCATGGCCGTTTCCGAGCTGGCGCGCCACCACCGCGACCGCGACTTTGACCAGACGGCCTCGGGCGACAACTACCAGCGCGGCGGCGGCGTGCCGCAGTCCAGCATGCTCGACACGCACAGCAGCCCCGTCGGTGCCCAGGGCGGTCTCGGCACCACGCGCGCTGGTCCCCATGACAGCAACATGGGCAACAAGCTCGACCCGCGTGTCGACTCGGACCTCGACGGCAGGCGAGCCAATCAGCTCGGCGGCGTCGGTGGTGGCCCTGGCGGGTTGCAGGGCGGCCAGTACGGCACCGGCCACACCGGCTCTGGCGTCGGCGGTGCCGGCCTGAGCGGCGCCGGCCTCAGCGGTGCTGGCCTCACTGGCGCGGGCGTTGGTGCTGGGTCTGGTAGTGTTGGCGCTGGGTCTGCGGGCCTGGGTGCGGACCACTACGGTCCTGCCCACGAAGGGGCCAAGGTGTTCCACAAGTGCCGTGGATGCGGCATGGACAATGACATTAGTCAGTACTTCCGCAAGGATGCTGTGTACCGCATGGGTTGAAGATGTCCTTGTATGAGTAGCGAACTGTAATGATATCATGATAACAGCAGCAACTGAATGTGGAATGAGCGTTCAGCATGAGTCAGATTTATAAAGATCGAGTAGTGACTTCGTTAACGTAATACTCTGCTGTGTTGACGATGTGGCGCCGTCTTGCGTGGTGTCGTCTCTTCAATGCCCTCCGAATCCCGGGCAGACCGATGTATGAGCGCACCGGCCGGTGAGCGCATCGTTTGACAACTTGGCAAAGGTCACAGCGAGTCCTAGGCGCTCGTTCGAAGACTGACTTAGCAAAGGACATGTAGTATCCAGCTCTGCTGGCTGAATCGCCTACATGACTTCATATGACACGGGCAGAACCGCCATACAAAGCCGGTGCATCAAGACTCCAATCGCATGTTGTATGAAATCGACCTGTGGGCAAAATTCCTCCAGGATTCCTCCAAGTCACAATCGTCATGGCCAAGTCATTCAAATGCGAAATACAATGGCTCAACTCTCTCAATTCGTACCTGGGATCGCTAGGCGGCCTGCAGAACGGAAATGGATTCATCTAGGTGGTGCGGGAAAAGTCTCAAGCCATTGCCGTCACCCATTTACTTCAAGACACAAGATCGCAAACAGCAAAAGACGGGATACGGCACGTCGGTGACCGAAATGATTGCTAGAATCATTCAATCATCCGCACCTCATGGAGCGCGCCCTCCTTTTGGCGCGTGCACCACATCAGGGGCGCTCTGAAACGTGACGGAGCATCGTGGTCGGGGTCGGACAATTTTATCGCAAACCCGCCAGCAAACGTGCCAGAGCGATTCAGACGTTCTCTTGGCAGGTTGCCCGTGACCAGGCCCGTCGGTCTCATCCCCCGGATCCTCGCTGATGGTCCGATGGGACCAGCCTCCATCACAGATCGGTTGACACCTCGACCCTCGGCCCAGTGCCCATGGTGACCAGGGCGAGGGGGGTGCGGCGCCAGCGAACATCAGCCCCTTGTTTGAGATCAGACGGGCAAAGCGTTTCAGCAACGGCCGCCTCGAGGCTTGACCCTTTCCCTCCACGATGCCGTCGCGGCAGCCCAGGCCTCGTCTCCTGTTTGACAACTGGGTGCATGAGGCATTCGTGAGGCAGAGCCCTGCCGAGCTCGTGTTCGCCAGGCGTCGTAGCTACGAGACGCGAAGCCTGGGGGGTTAGCGAAGGGGGAGCGGGAACAGACGAGGCGCGCCGTTGCGCAAGGGCGATCCCATATAAGCTCGCCCATCTGATCGCCCGTCCCAAGTCGACATCGCAACATCACTCTCCACGGCACTCTCATTCGCTGCGCTTCCTCCTTTTCCGTCTTCTCTTCGATCAACCCCGGCTGGCCCACCTTCGTTTTTGAACCCTCTTCGACAGAGCTTCCAAGTACCCCATCTTTCGTTCTTTCGTTCTTCTCCAACCATGAAGTTCTTCACGCTCCTTACCATGGCCACGGCCGCTTGTGCCGCCACCATGCACACCAGTCACGCGAAGCGTCACTCCAAGAGACACGCCAGGAGG